CCCCCCGCCTCCGAGTGCCCCCCCCCCCCCCCCCCCAAGTGGTTGGATGTAGCGACTGATAAATGATCAGATTCTTCTTTTCTCTGTCATTGCTGATCAATTAAAAGGTGGAAAATCTTTTTTAAGCAAAGAAAAACGCATCAGATGCACCCTGGTTCTTGTTTGTTGTTTTTGAGCCTTTTTTAACTTCATGCTAATAGAAAACAAAGCCTTTAATTATTATTTTAATAGTTATTATTTTTAAACAACAGTAGCGTAATTTGAGGCCATGACATTAGCTTGCGCAAGGATTGAAGAGAAGGGGAAGCCAAGTATACTCTACTTCATTGCACAATGCTGTTTGACTGACACTAGTTAGCTTAGGGTTGCCTTAAAGGAGAACTATGGGGTTCTATATTTTTTTAATGAATGCATTCCTTAGGCTAAATAAGTAAATAATGTAATTTACTGTAATTAGCCAAAATGCACAGTAAGGCTGTAAAACCTTATTTTAGGTGGTGGGCGGGGCTAAGCGCCGCAATGAGAAGACATCCCGACGTATCTGACGGGATCCTCCGCACTGATGATTGACAGTGATTCTTGAGAGCTGCTGCGCGTCAACGAATATATATGGACATGCGCAGCAGCTCTCTCCTTACCTTCACATCCCTGTGTGCCAGCTCCTTCCCCCCTCTCTCTCTCTCTCTCTCTCCCTGCTGACAGATCGTGGATCGCTGCTGACAATCTGGAACAAGCGTGCAGCCCGTGATGATGGAACTCCTATACTTGTTTCAGGTCAGACGTCCCCGTGTGCCAGCTCCCCCCCCTCTCTCTGCTGACATCCCCCCCTCTCTCTCTCTCTCTGCTGACAGATCGTGGATCGCTGATGACAGAGGGGAAGGAGCTCTCTCTCTCTCTTCAGCATTTACTACAAATGGGAAAGTCCATATATGGTAAATGATGTCACTGGAGATCCCTGCTGATCGGATCCGATCAGCAGGGATCTCCAGTGACATCATTTACCATATATGGACTTTCCCATTTGTAGTAAATGCTGAAGAGAGAGAGAGAGCTCCTTCCCCTCTGTCATCAGCGATCCACGATCATTTTGGTATGTCAGTGTCAGCAGAGAGAGAGAGAGAGGGGGGGGAAGGAGCTGGCACACGGGGACGTGCAGGTAAGGAGAGAGCTGCTGCGCATGTCCATATATATTCGTGGACGCGCAGCAGCTCTCAAGAATCACTGTCAATCATCAGTGGGGAGGATCCCGTCAGATACGTCGGGATGTCTTCTCATTGCGGCGCTTAGCCCCGCCCACCACCTAAAATAAGGTTTTACAGCCTTCCTGTGCATTTTGGCTAATTACAGTAAATTACATTATTTACTTATTTATTTGCCCCACGCTGCCGGCTCACAGTGGTGACTCGAGGCATCAGGATTGAAAGCGTCTGATATCAATCTGTTCTATGGACTGTAGCATGCAGGGGGAACACTTAAGCTACAACTGGGAAGATATCAATCCTCTGCAATGGTGACCAGTGGCAGTACCCCTGGGGATTGGTCATAGAATTCTAGGGTCAGTGGAACTCCAGGTGAGAAACCCAGTCATACGGTCACTTTCTGTGTACAGTATATGCACTTGCAGCAGTATCATCTGTATATCATTGTTCTGGACTGGCTTCCTGATTGTGACCATGCCTGCACAATGAATGTCAGAACAGCCACTTGCATTCTCACATGCAAGTGATGGGTGTCACCCTGTGATGGGAAGTGCCTGAAAAAGGGCATTGGGCTTCAGCTTGTATAAGTGCAGCATAAACAGTGAGCTTTTATAGAGCTTTCGCCAAGCTTTGTTGAAGCATTTAAATCACCATTCAGCTCCAGTTTGGGAATGTTAAGCAGTCAGCACTCCCATTAATATCTGCGGTTAACATACCTGAACTGGAGCTTTAAAGGCCTTGAGAAAGCTGCTCTGAGTTTGCTGAAAGCTTTGCAAAAGCTTGCCCATGTGAACAAGGCCTAAATGGCAGGATCACAAAGTGTTAATTAAGCTGCAAAAGTAACAAGATTGAAAACAATTTGAAATGGGATTAAATTGTTTTGAAGCACATTAAAGGCTTCTTAGAACAGAACGGATTCACATGCCTCATCCCATCACCTATCCCAAAAATAAGAGGATTGTTCCTCATTTCAGGACAGGGTTGCGGCCATGCAAATCATTGCTTTAAACTCCATTGGCCAGATGCACATCTAGAACTGTTGCATGCTGCTGTTTTATACTTTTTGGGCATCATCTGTACAGTGTATGGAAACCATGGCTTCTATGGAGTAGGGTTTGGGACCCCATGGAACAGTATGGAAACCATGGCTTCTATGGAGTAAGGTTTGGGACCCCATGGAACAGTATGGAAACCATGGCTTCTATGAAACAGGGTTTGGGACCCAATGGGACATTAAACCTCTGTTTAAACAGCCCCGATGCTGGCGAAGTACACTGTACGTCGTCAGTCACGAAGGGGTTAAAGGCTATGGTGACAAGGCTTTACTCTTTTGATTTGTCCTGATGGGGATTGTCACTGGTACTGAACATGACATTTTTGCACTTGAACAGGAATAGATCAGAAATCTTTCAATGACAACAAAGAGATCTTTTCTCTTACTTTTGAGAGATTTCTTCTCACTTTCTGTTATTCCCTCCCTACTCCCAAGACATTTTCTTAGTTCTGCAGTACCATGTTAGATTTGCTATATGGCCGCCATCTTGTGTCTGTGTAATTCTGAAGACACGTCAGGTTTCTTGGTGTATTTTTGGACATCTGGTAAACATGGCACGGACAAACACTGCTGAACCATCCATGTGGTCAGGGTGGCTTTGCTTTACAAGTAAGGAAAGATGGCAGTTTTCACAGGTGACCACAACTGTACCAGTTACAAAACAAACACATTGTGGTATAAAAAAATACTTTTAATTCTTATCTGCATGAAATATTTTAGTTGGCAATCATTTTAATTTATGTATTTAATACTAAGGCACGTGACTGTTGTAGAGGATGAGGAGGTCCCGTTCTCTGTTCCATGTTCTCCAATCCATCCAGCCTCAGCTTTTTGCTTGTTTCTTCTTTTGCACGAGCTCCACTAGCAGCTTATACCTACACATACAATCTTCCTGCAGAAAGAGGGAAACAGAAGAGCAGTGTCAATGTCTGCCCAGCCAGCTGTGACCAAAACCATCATTAGAAACACAAATCTATAGAAAGCTGAACTTCAGGCAGATATAAAAAAAATATAGCTTCATATTCATTAATATGGCATTAAATGTATATTTTTAATGCAAACAGTTCAAGTACCTAAATTTGACCAGGTATCAGCCTCTTACATTCTACAGTAGAGTAACGCTCGGACTGGGAGAAGGAGAAGCAGCACAAGGAGCCAGTCAGTTGTGTTGCCGTGCTCATGTTCTAACAGGGAATTTGCTGATAGGAGAGATCGGAGGGACAGAGAGATGATCTCTTCAGTTAGCTGGTTTCCCTTTCACTGGCCAGTCACAGGCTGCGGGAGGGACTGCACCAAAATCAGCTCTCCTACCCTGCCAGACATGGCTGTGCTCTGTGGCAAAGGTGTGTAAATCTCAAGACTGGATAGACAGAAATAAAAATCCTTTAGTAGGTAAAACAGTCCCCATATATACATGTATTTAGTGTTTTTTCTGGAATCCAGCTTTAAAGGAAACCTGTCATGAGAAGACTAAGTAGGCTGCCGTTGCTGTCCTCCAAATGCTGCTGGCCTGACTTAAAAAATGAGCCAAGCCAGAATTCCTAATCTTGATATTTCAGTAATGGCAGCCTGAACATTATAATCATGACAGGTTTCCATTATGCGTTTAAAATGCTTCTATAGGCGTCACATAGGTAATAAAAACCAAAACTCACCAAACCTGGATCTTTCACCAGTTGCCTTTCTCACCAGCAGAACAACAATAGGTGCCAGTGTCAGTGGGTGCGTATGATGTCTGCCGCTGACAAAGGCACCTGCCGAAACACCTCGCCTGGTTTGGATTGATTTTCCCAGAAATTTTACTCTGCGTTCATCTGACATTTACTTAAATGTTAAAGCCTCGATGAAGGAGGATGTTTGGCCCACGAAACAACATGGCCGTCTTTCGTTATTGTCAGTTGTGGATTTAATAAAACACTATTCTGGACTTTAAGAATGCTTGTCGGCCGCTTTCTCTGGCTGAAACACACATTTATTTATTTCCTGGATATTATTACATTTCTATATTATTATTGAAAATATTCTTGTGACAGAGCAGCCCTGGGTGAAAAATATGCTACGCGAGTCACATGCCACACTTTATTTTTATATCTACAACTTACTGTATGTCTGTGAAGGTTCTCATTCATCCAGGTACATCTGTAAAAAATAAGTCAAGGCAACTGGACTTACTGTAAAAAGATTTTGTACAAGTCATTCTGAATTGAGAAAGCTGGTCGGATGTCCAGTGAAAAAATACAGCAAGTCCAGTTGCCTTGACTTATTTTTTTACAGATATCTACAACTTCCTGTTTACGCTATTGTACTATGATCTGTAAACTCCTTTAATTATTACCATGGGTCCCCCGATAACGTCAATTTATTTAAAGGGGTTTCTCCGTGTTAAAAAAAAAAAAAAGATGAGAAAAACGAGTCTACTGCTTTACTATAAATGGGAAGCAATTCATGTGAGGAAAATACAAAACACATCATCCAATATTGCCTTATTAATATCAGTCTTTCCTAATGGGCACATTTCTTCTCCTGGAGGTAATAAATTGGACACTCCGCTTTCATCCTCCTGCCACATTCTGGACACTTGATATGACCAAGCCTCTGGGGGGATGGAAATCACTTACCCACAGGCTGAGGACAGCGCAGGGAATTCTCAGTTCTGCAGCAGCTTTCCCAAGAAGCCAAGCAGAATGAAGAATGAGTCTCAGGGATGCCAGTAGGTTGCCCAATAAAAATGCTCCTTCATGCACTCTGTATATGGCTTGATGGTGCTTTAAGGAACAAACACTATGAGCACCGAGTCGTCAATTTTCTTTTAGATTGTAAGCCCTCACGGGCAGGGCCCTCCTTACCATCTTGTCTTGAATTGTATTGTCATGTCTTCCTTATATTGTAAAGCGCTGCGCAAACTGTTGGCGCTATATAAATCCTGTATAATTATAATCATTTTCCTACAGAGGCGGCATCTATTCCTCTTTCCAGGTAAAGCCCTAAGTTCCTGGAAACGGCAGTTTTGTGGTTTTTCTTTTTTAATTATATACCATCTGTAATGTAAAATTACTCACCAACGTAAAATATTCAGATGTATAGCCATTTTGTTTGGCATTAAACCCTCAAACAGTTTTCACTGCCATCCAGGGCTCCATTTAGGGGATTCCCCATTCTCACAGGGAAAGCCATTTCACCAGACAGGAAGTGAGGGAAGTTAGGTAGGGTAATGCTAGAGCTCCAATAGCTTTTATTTGTCATCTGTTCCCTTGTTGCAGATTTTCTTTGTCCCCCGAACAGAAAGTAAGGGAAGGTAAATCACTAACAGAGCCTCAGATAGCAGAAAAACCTGATGGCTTTTAGCCCTTCCCTACTCTATCCAAAACTAACAGAAAATCTGGGCCAACCTGCTTCCATGTGACCCTTGCAGCGGGACGATGGTGACAAATAATAAGGTGGTCTATTACTACAAAAATTAGAAATAATTCTTCTCACCTTGGATTTACCGGGCACAGATTTGGCTATTTTATCCCAACGTTCCGCTGTTCCCTTCGGATATTGCTGCAGTGCCAGCTCCAGAAGCTTCTGCTGGTTCTGAGTCCATAGTTCTTCTAACGCTCGGCTGCGCTCCTTTTTCCTGCTCTCGTCGTCACTGTCCTCGAGCATGTCAGTCTCCTGTTCCACGTCAAAGTCTCTCTGCCGCCTGCCCCTGACTTTTTCCTCCATTTCCTCTTTTGTGGACGCCGCTGTCTCTGTAGGTTTTGCGATCTTCCTCTTGCGAGCTCGTGTCGCTGTCACGGGGCCTTCACTGTGAGCAGCTGACAAGTCGCGTTCCTCATCGGCGGGCTCCTCTTCCTCCCGCTGTGTGATTATGCTGTCTGGTAATGTCACATTCGTCTTCCCCACGCATTTTAGATCAGCTAATCGAACTGTACCTGTAAAGAATAACGGCATTAATAACTGTATAGAAACACAACAGATTTCCATAATCAATAGCGTAGCCTTTCAAATTGAACTTCAGGCAGTTTTTAGTCTTGCACAGAGCGGAGAAAGGTTAAATCCTGTGTTTTATTGCTGTCTCGCTCCAACTGCAAGAAAAGGAGGTAAAATGGCCAATATTACTCCATGAAGGGAGTTTAAAACCGGTTCTAATACAGATCTGTGTTATCGCTTTTTTGCTGAGTCCATCCAAGTTGATCCTGTGTTGAGTCCTGATGAAGGGGGAGCTGTTTTGGCACATAAGCACATTAGACGTTTTTTATGATCTATTTACCAACAATAAAAAATTATATTGGACCCCCCATCTGTTTTTGGTCTGGTGCTTTTTTGTGTAGCGCTAAGGTTATTATCTGATGTCTGAGCCCCCTTAGGGAGAATTTCCCTCACTCCCTGTCCTGAAAATATAACTGGAAGTGAGAGTAAAACCCTTTTTAGTTTGGTACTGAAACAAGTGTCCCCATTTGAAGATTTTCCCTCACCGTCTCTTCTGGTGACAACTGTAAAAAGTTCGATTTTTTCACTCCTAGTGACAATGATCACTAGGGATGCAACCATACTGGTTTTTCGGTACAGAGTACTGATATTTATCTTTCGTACTCGCCGATACCGGTACTTCCGCTAGCATGGGGCTGCTTTCCCGGGCAATCAGGAAGCCGGGCGCTGTGTCATTACCTGCCGCCCAGCTTCTTGATTCGCCAGGAAGCCGGCTCCATGTTAACTGGCAGGGAAGCTGGCTTCCTGGCCAAACAGCATGGAGCCGGCTTCCCAGCCAATCAGGAAGCAGCTTGGCCAGCTCCATGTTACCTCACGGCACTGCCAGTAAGAGGAAATCTCCCTCTGACCGGAAGTTCCGGTATCGAGGGCAAGTATCGGAGCATTTGGTACGAGTACTCGCCCTATCTACTATGTACTAGTATCGGTACATCCCTAATGATCACCATGACAAATAGAAAGGGTGAATCTCTGTAGTGTGGACACCTACAGCAATAAAAACCTGACAGGTGTTCTAATACATGCCAATCAGTTTGGGTTAAAGATGCTCTAAGTTTTCTCATCTCGTCTGGATTAAAATAATTTACCAGTAAAATTCTAAAAATATAAAAAATACAAATACATACCCGAGTTGTAAGAAACAATCTCCTTCGCCTGTTTTGCTCTTGTTGTTACCTGCACAAAAACATAAAACATTTTAGGAAAACAATTTGCATACAAGTATTTGATTCCAGACAATGTCTACGTGATTCTTAGAGCAGAGTTCTAGCCAGAAAAAAGGTAAAAATAAATAGCGCATTTCAAGATAAAATAACAATATTCAGGTTTAATTCAGGAGATACTTTTTTTCTGCTGCTAGATATCCTCAGACTGGCGTCCATGTGCACTGCACATATGCAGATTTGTTGATGATGGGCAGCATTTGCGCTTGTGATAATGAGGGTGCATTCATCATACCATCCATCTGAGCACATATGTGCAGACTGCTCGGAATGCTACTTCTTCAGGCAGGCTGATTGGTATGTCCTTCAGGTATGTCATTTAAACGAATCTGTCTAAACAGTACTATGGTATGTAAACGAACATGTCTATGTAGCTGCACTGTAAATTTTATTAGAAAGGTAAACTAACCCGCCATTTCCAATTGACCACACAACAGATTAAAGATAACAGCGTGTCTCATGGGGACTTCTTTCGCTGGTCCTGCTATGACATTCAGGAGAGCAGAACAACTACACACTATTATAGAATTCAAATCCACTTATGCATGGTAGTTAGGGGAAGACGGACACAAAAAACACAAACCCTCACAGAAAGGACTATAGCTTGTGTACAACTGTACTGCTTTTCTCAAACTTTTTTCAGTCATGGCATCCTTTAAAAGTGACGCTAAACTCAGCAGTTAAATCTTAAAAATACATTCAAGTAAACAAACTATTAATAAAAATGTATCTTATTTGTGTATCACTCGGCTGTAGATCCTCAAATCATCTCTGAATTGGTGCCGACACTGACCTTCCTTCTGGAGGGTGGCTACTTTGGTTCCCCATGGTCCCTGTGTGTGTTGTAGAGTAGTCACCGCTCCAAATGCGCTCCTGTGATGGACTACAATCTCATGTTTAGTTTACTAATTTGTAGAGGGAGAGCTAAAAGTTGCCAGTCAGCCCCTGACTCCCGTGATGGACTACAATCTCAATACAAATTAGTAAATTACATGTGAGATTGTAGTCCATCTCAGGAGCGAGCTTGGAGTGGTGAGTACTCTACAACACACACAGGGAGCATGGGGAACAGAAGTAGCCCCCCTCCAGAAGGAAGGACAGTGTCAGCACCAATTCAGAGATGATTTGAGGATCTACAGCTGAGTGATACACAAATAAGATACATTTTTGTTAATAGTTAAGGGACTTGAATGCATTTTTAAGATTTACCTCCTGAGTTTAGTGTAATTTAAAAGTATGAAAAACCTCAGGGTACCTTAGTCTAAAATGTAAAAACTGTAAATATAAAAAAAATTATGTGTTGTCCCTCCAAAATCCCTACCAGACCCTTATCCAAGATAAGGGACCAGGTGAGGTTTTTATGGTGGAACCCCAATCAAAAATCGCCACAAAAAAAAGGGGGGGTTCATATTCTGCTTCACACCAGAATCTCTACTTTTACATCAGGCTTACACTTTACATCCAGAGCCCAGCTTCCTATTAGGAGCCCCTCTTCACATCAGAAGCACTCATTGGAGGAATGACGATTTGAAAATTTCCAGGCACCCTGAGGAAGCCAAAAGGCACCCTGGTTGAGAAAGGCTGCTGTAGTGCATTTCACTGTAAGGCAATTCTAGACACCAAAGTTTAAGATATCTTTTAAACCCCCAATGACCACAAGTACTTCATGTCTTTGCAGAATAAAGCTGACCACAACATTTTTGGTAACATTTTGTACAAAAGTTCATGTGAAAAATCTCGTCAGAACATTTGATAATCACATAAGAAACATGACGAATGTCATTAGAAACTGTATTTGGTTTCTAACATTCAATTTTGAGAATGAATCGAGTTATTCGAATGAAATTCATATTCACTCAACAATATTTTTTTTCTTATTCTGCCTCTTCGTTATTTTTTCATCTCTACATTCGAAAACAATTGTCACTTTGACCCCATTACCTATTAGAAAATTGAATGAACATTCCGAAAGCAGATTTGTTTGTATGAAATTCTAACGGCGTCTGGCCATATCTTGTCATTGTTTCCTTTTCAATAGCAGGAGGCAGATTTCTAGGACAAGGCGGTATTTATACAACAATTTCATCACTCTTATAACGGGAAAGCAATGTATTCTACAAGAAGAAAAATCAGTCCTCTCAGAGGAAAAAAAGAAAAGAACATTATTTTGTCATGGCGCTAACATTTTTAGGTGGGGG